ATAAAGATGCAATTCTTTGTGCAATGGCAAAGCAGTTTGGCTAGATAAGCCAGCAATGCAAGTTCCAACATTAATTATCACTAGTACAGAAAGCAGACCCACTCCTTAAGGGAATCAATACCATACAACCATGCCTGAACTCTGGCAACAGAATTTTGATAACAGGCACAAACAGCATAAATTAGTGTTAGAATGGGCAATGGATGCCTTTAGATAACCAAATCTTGCTCGGGCTCAACCATGTAGATCTGGCCTCAGAGTTCCCACTGTTCTCGCAATGCTGAGAAGCAAGGGGTGGATAAGGTGCAAGTGGCTGCCAGAATTTTAACGCACTGTGTTGTCTAGACACGCTCTGAGCAGTCTCATACAGACGCCTCCAGATGCTTTTACAACACCCATTTAAACACAGATCTCAACAAATGACAACATGCATCGGTCAGCCAGACCAAGCTAGTGATAACCACGTTCATACCCTGCAAAACACACCAGGTATAAGGTTCCTGATGCATACAAAAAATAAGCTGTGTTTACATGCAACTTCAAAGTATGCTACTGTTTGCGGAAGGACACTTATCCAAGCCTTAAACCACAAAAATGGAGAGGCAAATCAGAGAGCAAAGACACTGAATGGAGGAGAAAATACTTAGTATTTCAGGCACTGATTTAAAAAATAAGAGATTTCATACAATTCCGTCCCTGCATTCACAAGGATTGAATTCAGGAACTTCATGAACTATTTTGGGGCAACAGACAAAAAAAAAAGTCAGAATTGCTCTGCTATAGCTGTTGTAAGATATACCCTATTAACAAATAAAGAAGGTTACTACTGCCAAGAGGATACAGAAACAGAAATATATACATTCTGCGTCTGCTGTTGCAGCATTTCCAATAGCTATTGGGTGCAACATAACCCCCACTGTACAGTAACTAAAGGAACACAACTGCCTTACAACTCGGTCAGGACTGCACCATTTCACTTTGAGTGGTTTTTGTTTGATTTGGGTGCACAGCTGACCTGACTAAACCTTACTTCAGCAGTGAAAGTTGCATGTTGTGGCAGTGCTGGACTGGTAGGCACTGGGAAATAAAGTGGGAGAGCCCATGCGTTCATTTGTGTGTCAGTACCCAGAATGCTGCTTCTCTAGCTTCCAGCTACTTCACAGAAGCGCTGCTGGGACTTGAACCGTGGGAACACTGCGGCGGCAGCACATGTGGGTGTGCTCACATGTGTGCACAGAAGGCCCTCTTATTCTCCCCGTATCTGACTACATACAGCTTTGCTTCAAGTACAGATGTCTGATATAGGTAGGAAATAAAAAAGCACTGTCAGACTTTGCTCAGTTCAATATTAAAAAAGAAAGAAAAAAAAGAAGCAGGGAAGAAAGAGTTTAAAAATGACTGAATGGAACCCACCCGCTTTACTGCAAATAGCAACCAACAAAGACTTACAGCCTCCTTTATGAATTGAGTCATAGGGGAGGCACATTGGCCTTCAGAAAGCAGAGCGCGCTCTGAAACGGGAAGAGAACGTGAGGCACACTAGAACCATATCTATACCACTAAGCAAAGATTTGACATGCGCTAGGGACAAGAAGGGAGGAAATAGAAAACAAAATTCAAGAGGGTAACAAATGCCTGAAGGATCTACAGTTCCTCTACCTCCTGGTCTGGTGGGGTTCCAACTGTCACAACTCTCTCCAGCTTTTGGTTGAGACTCACCACTGACTTCATGGGGCTTGAGATCTAGATGGAAGCTTTTTTTGTGAGTAGAAAGAACAGACAATGCCCATCTTGTTCAAAGCACCATCCTGAGAGAGACGGATCAGTATATGTGCACAATGGGGGCCTGACGCATAGAGGAATATATAGTGAGAATTTCTGTAGACAAAGCTATTCCTTGTAGCAATGCTTTAAAGCTACCTCAAACAAAACAAAAACAACAGTTTTGCCATTAAACTGAGTCTGCAATGGGGACACCTGCCAACTCACCTTCTCCATTCAGAATTTAGGCCTTTAAAAGATGGAGCTATCCTGGGAGAAGTCCACAAACCTCATCACATAAACCTCCTGAAGACCCACAAAAAGGCCAGAAAACTCGCTGCTTCTTGTACGGCCACAACAGTCATACACTCCACTATCAATATACAAACAGAACCGCAAGAAAAACACACCGCACAAAATGGTGTATGTGTGTGTATGCGTGAACATGAAGACATACATACTTAAATCAGAAAAAAAAAATTCTGTGTTATACTTTCAGTAAATATCTGACACAGCAGATTAAGGTATACAATACACACAAACTCCTCTACACAAGATAAAAACAAAGCAGCGCAGAGATACACATCAAAAAGAAAGACCACCACAAAGACACATATGCTTCACCCTTTTATCCACAGAGAGAGACAGACAGTGCTCAGACACACAAAAACCACATAGACTGACAATCATTAACACAAACACACAGAAGCAGACGTGGGATCATCATTTCATTTCCTCACTAGGCAATCTAAACTTTACTCCAATGTTATTTGCCCCTGGCCACAGTCTACCAACCCTAGAGCCAGATTAAATCTCTTCGTAATTATCTGCAAACACTGCTACAGCACAAATGACCTTAGCAAATGATATCTCTTGGTTAAGTCCAACGAGAAAAGGCTACAGAAAACGCAAGCATTCAAAACTCAGCCAGCAATGCCAGGTAAGAGTTGCTTATAGATTCTCTTAAGACTATATCATTTTATGGACGATCCCTGAAGCTGTCTCAAAACCCTTAAACTTAAGCATAGTTCTGCACTGGATGTGTGAAAAATTATTCAGCTTTCTCTGCCCTAACACCAGAACAAATGCTTACCATCCTAGTCTTCCCCCATCGAACTCTTTGCCACATCTCAAAAGAACCTATGCAGGAGACTTCTAACATTTTCTTACGACAAAATTTTGCTAACTTTCCTTAAAAAAAAAAAAAGTTATTATGTTTTGTGTCCACTAAAGGCATCTTGAAATCCCTCTGCAAAAAGTGTTTTGTATGCAGATTTTGCATTGCAGAGGAAAAGCGTTTGTCACGTTCTGAGCCAGGACCTATTAAATGGACCCCAAAAGAGACAGGCAATACCAAAATTTAGTTGTCATTTTTAAGCAGGAACAGTCCCTATCTCGTTCTCTGTGTGCAATCTCACCTGCTGGTGACAAATTGTGCCATAAAAGCCTTGTAAGAAAAGGAATATACACCTCTAATAACATTTATTTTAAACTGTGGAAATGTCCAATCTGGAAACACATTACCATTCAGGGAACAAGAACCCGGAATTTCTTAATTCTGCCTCCCAAACAATGCATGCCATATAAAATTAATTTCCCAATCCCAAAAATATCTCTGCTTTCATAACTGTACTCTCCTCTCACAGGCATTCATATGTCTATCCCACCATTCCCTCTTGGCACATGACTGACAGAGAATAGAAAAGCCATTAAAAACACATCCACCTCCAACCATGGAGATAATGTGGCTCATTACAGCTCAGCCTTGTCACAGTGGTTCTGACACTCAAGCTGGAAGAAAAGGAGGGGTAAGGGCAAGGATAGGAGTGGGGGATAAACAGAAGACCAGGAGAGGAACAGGAACTGAGAGTGAGACTCCATTTACTGATTAAAAAAGTGGAATCAAATCCATGAATTAGGCCTTTCAGGCTAGCCATGCTAACTACTTCATTGTGGAAGGCATTTAATTAGCTTTGGTATTTTTTAAGGGTAAGTTATATTTGACTCTGAGTGTGTGTGTGCATGTTTAAACAGATATTTGGGAGTTAATTAAGAATCTTACTGAACATTATCAATGGGCTTTGAATGTTGCTTCTCCTTGGGGCTAACGACATTACCCTTCCACTCCAGACACGTAAAACTCATGAAAAGTACCCCAAATATCCAACAGCTGAGGCAAAATCCATACAACAAATCAGCAGCAAAAAACTCAGCAGGCAAGAGTTAATTAAACTTTTCTTGTTTGCTTTTACCCTTTGGGAAGGGGGGGGAGAAGGGGCGGGAAGTGAACTGCTCATCTCACAGCCAATTGCACTCCCGCCAGCTAGCCAGACATCCTGGTGTCTGCGAGCAAGTTCCCAAGGCCCGTAGCATTCACTGCTGCCCGCTGAGGAGGGCTCTGCGAGGTGCCAAGGCGGCCTCCCACCCACATACTAGACAAGTGATTCTGGGATCTAAAGGCAGCTCAGACTGAAGCGGGGGTGGGGAGGGAGAGACCCACCTAAAATAAATGTGCTGGCTGGAGCGGTAGACCGCACTGCATACCTTAACCAGGCTGCTGCAGCTGGCCTTAGCCTCGTTCACTGAATGCATAAATAATCCCATATAGAAAAGCCAGGCTGGTGGTGAGATTCAGACTTCACTGGGCTAATCAAAAAGCACAGACTTCTCTTTTCACATACCTGGCACTAGTATCAATAATGTGCAATAGTGTCGATAGAAGCCACATTTTACTACAATACACACGCACTTAAGTAATTTAGTCTTTGCCTCCCCCTCTGCAGGTATGCGATTAAGAAGGAAGTTGTATATATTTGTGTTTGGAGCAATCTGTTACTTTTTCTCTTGTGTCTTCCTTGTTTGGATCCCTAATTTAAGCTCTTAAATTCTAACGTAACATACTTCCCGCTAGAGTCTGGGGCAATGCGATGACATTTGAAGATGAAGGTCCATGTACATCAAAATATACAAACACAAATATTTTTGTAATTTGAACTATAACTACTGTATTCAGAATAGGAAAAAATTAAATTCGCAAGTATAAAAAAGTGCCACCTCAAACATTGCTCATCTACGCCGGAACACATGTGGTGAGAATTAACAGCAGTTAAATTGCTAAATGACTTTAAAATGCAAAGCACTTGGTAACACATGGGTATATCTGTGGATGTCACCTAAATGACAGAAAATTCCCCCTTCTCTTCCCCGCCACCGAAATAAGAATTAAAGGCATCACTTACCCTGGGGGCTTTTCTCTTGTATTTGTTGTTATAATCAAATTTTTCTTTCATTTCATCTAAGAGCTGACCCAGCCTAGTTTTCTCCTCTTTCCCAGTGTAATCCTGGCTGAGGAGGATATAGGATCTCCAGTTTGCTGAGTCAAAGCCCCAGTGGCAAGTCCTGTTTTCCAGGGATTTGTGAGAGTGGACCACAAATTTGTGAGGAGGGTACATAAGCCTGCAGTCCAAGCACTGAATGCAGGCTGCACTAGGGTTACTGTAAAGCTCTGGCACCAAGAGGCCCTTGCACTTCCCAAAGCACTCATGGTACACCTTGAAGCTCTTCTCTGTGAGCTCCAGCTCAATCGTGCTGGAAAACTCCTTCTTGCAGTGAGGAGGATAGGTGCCCCCATAAAGCAGGGCATTGCAAAGCCTCTCAGCATCAGTTTTGGTAATGAGCCCGCAGGAGGGAGCGGAGAAGGGCAGGATGCCCATGACTTTGAGGATCTCCAGCTGGTCAGCGGTGCATCTGGAGCAGTAAATATGTAGCTCATCACACACCGAATTGATCTGCTGCAGGGAGAAGTCCCTGAGCACCGAGTTCAGGATCTGGGGCAAGCAAAGCCGCTTTTCTCCGCCCACCACGAAGCAAGAGATGGTTTCCCCTTCCAGGATGGTCTCGCACCTCTCTGTGGATCTGTCCGAGGGCATGAAGAAGGGACCAGGCATTACTGGAGGAGGCTGGATAGGAGGCAGATGCAATACAGGTTCTGCTGGGTCTTTGCCGTTGTCCTTCTTGTACATCTCCTGTGCCCATCGTGCTGAGAAAGCAGCAGGGCCACCCAGGGAGCTCATAGAGCTCAGATGAAACTGTTCCAAGGTCTTCTGCAGTCCTGGATGAGGCTGAAAGCTGCTTCTACTTACAGTCTCCATTTTTAGTTTCTATTCCCAGAACAAACAACAGACCCCTCAATTATTTTCCACCCTGCTAAAAAAAAATCCACTTAAAGATATATATTTTTAAGAAAAAAAGAATTATTAAAAAAATAAAACAACCCACCCTCGGTTTTTCCCTTCCCACTCACGTTTAACAATCCACTAATGAAAAGGAAATAAATCCTTTCTGTATGTATTTCTTTTTTTTCTTGCTTTGTTACACTTTCAAAACCTCCAAGTCTCCAAAGATGCCCCAATGGAGCAAAGAGTCACACCAAAATAGGTCTTCATCCGAGCACTCACCCCCTCAACCAAGCCCCTGGGCAAACGAATCCCGCCTCCCACACCCCCGACACACAGACAGACAGACACACACACACGCGCGCACACACACACGCCACCCACAAAAATACAAAAAGTCTATGCCCCGAGCACTGGGGGCTCAAATATGCTCTGGTGGCTGCTGCTTCTCTGCAGTAAACTCCCTTCTGTCCATATCCACCAAAAGGAAGGAGCGGGGGAGGAAAGTAAAAACCAGAAGGAGGAAGAAAGCTTCGTCTGTGAAGGAGAACAACGCAGAATAAAATTAAAAGGCCCAAATCCCTGGCACTTCCAAAACGGCGAGGGGACTACAGACGGACAGATAAGCAGGCTCCCTTCTCTCTCGTGGTCCCTTAGCTCGGTCTGGGAGGGCTCTTCGTCTCTCGGTTTTCTTTTCTTCCTTTCTCTCGGTCTTCTCAGCGTGCCGTGGGGAGCCGCGGTAACAGAGCGCTCATCCTCCCAGCTCCTCTTTCCAGCAGAGAGAGAGAGTGCCTGTTGGTGTCTGCCTCAGTCATTGAATCACAGCCAAGAATGTGACCAACTCCCCAGGCTGGGCTCTTCCAGGAACAGCGGCCGCCTCCCCCCTCGCTCTTCTTAGAGCTTCTGCAAAGGCAGGCGCACAGAAAGGCCCCGGGCGGCAGCGCTCGCACAGAGTAAAGTGCTGGGTTCACAGACCAGTGTGCCGAGAAGATGGGGCGGGAGGGCGAGGGCTTTTCCCTTACTGCAGTTCTATTTCTGAACGGCAAGAAAAAGGGAACAAGCAGAAACGCGCTGCACACACACGGCACAAAACCTGCACTTGCAAGCCTGCTTACAACATATAAGTGTAACTTTGAGCTCCTTTGTATTAGCACAAATCACACACGTGCAAACACAATCCACACACCAGCTTTACAAACACCACTTCTGATACTTCTGATACGTCGATAGCCCAGCCTTAACTGCAAAACATTACAAGTCAGGCACCAAGTTTTCACACACACTCGATATTTTAAGAAACACTTCATGGAATAAAGAGCAAAATATATAAATGTCATATGCCTAAAACACTCTACACATGTATTGTGAGCACACAAACTTCATGTATGTTTGAGACAAGGAAGAAATGTAAGGCACGACTGCAATACAGAAACAAAGAAAACGAACTACCAAAACGCCTACTGAAATAGTATCGCGATTTCAGGCTCGAAAAAATCATTTGCTGCAAATTTGAGCAAGGCGATATCGCTAGTTCACCAAAGCACGACGCGGAACCTTTAAGGAGCTCTTTGTACATCCCGTATGCGTGGCTGCCGCGCCGCGCGCACCCAGCGAGAGCAGCTCCCTCTACTGAGCCATGTGCGCCACGTCCTGTTCCCTTTTTTTTTTTTTTTTAATTCCAGAATTGAGGCTTTCCTTAAAATCTCCCATTCCATTACTGATTTCTTTTCTTTTCTTTTTTTTTTTTTTTTAAACCTTGAACAGTTTGGAGAAGTTAAAATACAGATATCAACATGAATGCACATGTCACCACTGCTCAGTTCTGTGAAATGTTATTTCATTCTTAGCAGGAATTATATGTTCTCCAGTTTATGTTAAAATTAATTTACAAAGCAAAAAGTTAACTTTTCCTTCCTTCTTGAGCTACATAACTGAAATCCTATTTTTTTAACCAGCTCTAAGTACATTTTTTAACTAGTACTAAGTACACACACAAGAAGTTTAAAAGGTTATTTCTGTGATCTTGCAAACTCTGTAAATTCAAGGTGTGTGCAACAAAAGAAAAAAAAACGCTGGAGAATAGCTAAATGGCAATACAATTGTAAAAGTACTATTACAAACAGTAATGCAGGTGCCAGTCAAAGTAGTATTCACAGTTCAGAATCCTTCTATGCTGATGCAGAAACTGAGCATTAGGATTGTCCCTTCTCGAAGCGTTAACCATTAGAGTATAAATTCAGAGAAAATAGACCAGAAAATCAGGTAGAGCAAATAGATGGATTTCTAAATATCACTTAAAAGAACACAGTAGAAAACAAGAAAAGGGTGAGATTTAGTCAAAATCAATCTGTTATTTTCTTTGAATTTTTATGCTCTGAAATAACATTCAGAGCAAGGGAAAGAAGTATCATAGAGCCAGAGCCTTGATCTTGCAACAGGACCAGCATTTCTCATCACAGAACTCCTCTCTCACACACCCAGCAGAAGTATCAAGTCTTCATGTGTTAAAAAGGAATTCAGAGAAGGAAAAGAACAAAACACGTTGATTCTAGTCATCGGTTTATCTTCATGTATAGAGGGAAGATGCTTAGAGAGCCTTTACCAACTCATTTTATTGAAGAAAGCTCCTGCTGCCAAGGTGTACCCTTTGGGGTCCAAAGTCTAAAGGTGGGAACTGGCAATCAAGACCATATTGTGTTAGTTACTGAATCCCTATGCCAAAGAAGTTATCATGTTAACAGAAAGAATTTTGCACTGAATAATAGAGTCATCTAAAAGGTTTAGTTAATAATCATTTGCAATACTATTTATGTCACTAATTGCTAATATGAAGCACATCCATGACAGTCCATCCATGCCATCATTTCTAGACCAAACAGTGTGCTTTACTAGAAGGAAAATCCTTCCCACTGTTCACCCTCATCTTAAAAATTTCCAAATATGACACATGAGAAGTACTAGATGCTTAAAGAAGCTCATTAGGGATATGGGAATGTAACTCATTTTCATAGAATGTACTCAGATACAATTATAATATGCAGTAGAATAATTCCCTAGACAGATTTAATTCAGTTTCAGCCATTTTTTTAACTCACTAGATATCAAAGTCCAGATATACTCAACATCACGCATGGTGCTCCTTTTAAAGACTGAAATTAATGCTTTGAAGGAATCTGGTTAATAATATGAAGTCTCTCTAGTTCTGGAAGACACCTTTTAGCACTCCTTCTCCCTCACCCTTTAGAAATGAGAGTAATAATTTCAGTTCATTTTAAGAGAGGTTTCATTTTCCCTTCCAAATGCATCTTTTATGCAAGTAAATCACTAGAGCATGCAAAAGATTGTTTATGGTTGGAATTTATACATGGAATTCCTGAAGCAGAGGGGACTACCAAAAAACAGGAAGGATGGACTTGTGGTTAAGGCAGAAAACTCAGGACATCTGGAGTTGATTCTCCCACAGACTTCCTGTTGCCTTGGGCAAGCTGTTAGTCTCTCTGTGCCTCAGTTTCTATACTTGCAATATTCGGATTGTGAATCAGAGGGCCAGCTTCCGAAATTAAATTCAGGAAGTGACAGAATACAGGTATGATATTCTTAGAACTGTGCAAGAGATAAGCAAAATATTAGAATCAAATTGCTCCAATGTGCAGTTTTCTTCACACAGCTCTAGGCATCAAAAAACTGCTGTTTCCCACTCACATAGTAACAGTGCAGTAAAACCTCATTTTATTTTGCAGAATCAAATAGCAGCAGGGTGGGAAAAGGGGGACAAAGAGTGGTCTCATTTGGGATTAAGGTGACAGCAGTTTCTAAAGTCTCCTACTCCTTTGATGATGGACTGTGCAGCGCATTTTAAAATTACATTCATCTTTCTCCTAGTAACTGCTTGTCTTGCTCTAGTTCCACAGCCCTCTAGCTGGAGAAAGGAGAAGGGAAAAAATATCTCAGAGGAAGGGCCCTAACACCACAGTGTTTTTCTCATTCTCTCCCTCTTCTCCTCCCCCTCCCCACTGGCTTCAAGGCCAACAGCTCCTGGAACACAAACACTCTTGTAAACTTCTGAACCACACAGCCCTGTGGTGGGTGGGTGTTTGCTCCCAGCCTGCCAGTTCCAATCCACCCACAGATTCCAAAGGCCCCGAACAAAAAGCAGACTCCATTTTCCCTATTTAACAGGCAATTCGTTTCCCTCTACACCCGCACATCACCTTTTTTTTTGTAGCACTGCAAGCTTCTCGCAACTATCATGTCCCACCTTTTATGTCCTCCCCAAGTGGAGGGTGACATGTTTGTGCATACTTTTACATATACACACAAAAATATATTCTAAAATGATTCACCTAAGTCCTGTTCTGCTTTAAGATGTCTGCTCAGACTGAAAGACTTGGGGATTATCAAGGATAATTGTGCTTCATATTGAAGCTATTTGACAAAACATCGGGAAGGGCCTACTGTGAAGAATGTGAAGAAGGAAAATAAGCAAAAACTGAAATGTGCAAATGTGACACACATCAAAATTCCTGCAGCTTAATTTAGATGGTAATTCATTATAGCAACAAGCATCTAATTTCTTCATGTTTTCACTGTACAAACTTATTTCTTAAAGTGACATTCAGGTACTGTACCAAAACAACTTCTACCTGAGTAGAACATACTATGCCATTTTCTTCCCTGCTTTCTTTTAAGTAACCTCAATTACAGTTGACCATTGTCATAGGCTACTTCCATTATAGTGAAATTGGGCAATATCATACTATCCAGAACATGCGGAATTAAGATTTCTAACTTTTCTTGGAACAGATTTATCTAGGAGTCTGACCATCTTTTTCAATTAAGTATTTCATTTCCATCATCATTCCATCAACATACAGATGCAGCTCACATAAAATATTTCATGAATTTTTACAATATTCTTACTTTTTTATCTAATACAAATATTGAAATATTTTTAAAGAAGCACTTTTAATGTATTTCTCTTAGATATGTACTGAAATAAGCAATTCTAAAAATGATCTAATAAAAAATCTTAAAATGTTTCACAAATCAGTCATACTTTAGAAGAACCAAAGAAAAATTTCACTCAGTTTGAGAAGGCCAGCAATTGATTCATGGCAACACAAGTCCTCTTTCTCTTCCTCTCTCTTTTTTAATGGAAATATCAACTATTTGCACAACCCCTTTCAGGCAAAAGAGCTCAGTGATGGCTGGGTCTTCCATGACAGTTACCACCCACTGGGTTCTACCATTTTCTAGGCTATCTTCAGGATGCTGCACAACCTTGAAAATGTCTGTATCACACTTCATACAGGCCAGTTAAGAGTTGATTTACATATTAATAGCTCATTTATAAAGTCATTTTAGGCTCTTACTGTGCTCCAAGTAGTGGCAACATCTATTCTGGGAGCACTAAAAAACAAAATCGGTAATTATGGTACTGTAAGCGGGGAGGGAATATATAGGTAGATGTAAAGCTGTCAGAAATTGCTGGATTTGATGAGCTGGCAGTTAGTGAAGATTTTTTAAGATAACCTTGGATAACAGGGTAAGTGGGAGGTCATTCTGGTGGGGAAGGCAGCATTTTGGCTCTTTGCATAATCCAGGGTTAGCAAAGTCTGTATATTGAGCAAAGTCTGCCTACTCATTATTTTATTCAGAAAAGCACTGAGAGCAATGCGGCTTCAGCATCCTGCTGAATAGGGACCCTAGTTGTCAGGAGGTACAGGCAAAAGAGAAACAATTTTCTGCTTAAAAGCAAAGCCACATGTATTATTCA